ATGCTGTGTTTCCTGATAATATTGCCTAAAGGGAGCATGAAGAGCATAAAGAGGATTGGACCTGGCACAGAGCCCCTGGAACGCCATAGCTAACTTTAGTCCACATGGAAGATTCATCATTAACATGAACAAATTGGAATCTATCTGATAAATAAGATTTGAACCAACTTCCTTCAATCCCAATAACATGTTTAAGTCTCTGTAGTAAGATGCTGTGATCAATGGTGTCAAAATCAGCACTGAGATTGTAAGATTTGAATCTTATAGGCTCTAGTTACTTTACAAGCTTTAGTTACTTTTCATAACCTTAGTTTGCTTTAGTTACTTTTCATACCTTTATTTTTCCTTGCTTAAACATATTAAAACTGTATTGATGACTGCCATATTCTACTGAGTGAAACTTTGGAACTGTATTGTTATGGTTGCTCGAACACAGAATGAGCGAGTGGGAAAAAGGACAAACCCAGGTAGCTGGCTTCTGTGCAAGCAGTGAGGTTTATTTACAGTGCAGTACAGTGAAATACGTATAGGAGGGATGTAGGGATAGATGACCGGGTGTCGATCAGCGGCAGCAGAAACACAGTCAATGGTATGATGGGTGATGATGGGCCGGGCTGCGGACGTTGGGATCACTCCTGGGCTGGTCGAGGTGGAGGCGATGATGGCTGAGGAAATTGGAGCATGAAAAGACAGGTTAAAGGAGACTGTGCATCGACCTGTGAAGCAGTGGCTGGTAGAGCTGGGTAAATCCAGAGTCCAGAGGAGAGGTCCGTGGAGGAGGAACAAACAAAGGGCAGCAGGGCAGGATGGTGACTTGAGAGAAACACAGACTTTACAGCGGACGTACTAGGCACAAAAAAAAAACACAACAAGAATACTAACGGCCTGAAGACAGAGATAGAACTGGCAGGGGAGTGAACGGTGAGCAGTGTACAAGTACAGAGGGAAACTAACGAGGCGCAGCTGGTGAATAATCAGGGAAGCGGGGCAGGTGTGTCGAATAGTGCAATCAGTGCAAGGGAGCAGACTAGATTGAGGAAGGTGTAGGACTAAACCAGTCCTTGCATGTTCTTTTATGAAGAATAGTCAAAGACAAATCTGTCTTTTAAGATATTTATTACAATCAATATTTCAGAAAAAATATTCAAAAAAAGCAATTACAGAGCTCTGGGTTCTGTTTCTATCTGAAGCCCTATCACACAGAGAAGTCAGTGCATAGCTGCTGCAGGAAGGCGGAACCACGAGTTTCCTCTGGATAGAGAATTTATAATAAGAGTCATGCAAATAATCTGACGTCATCCGCGTTGTCCTTCATCCTCGTTCCTTGGTTGGTTTCTTGACCTCGTTCTGACCCCTCATTTGGTGATCTTGTTGCCAGG